AAATGTGTCTGAGTAGATTTCGTTTTGGAGAGAAAGCTTTGATTTGCCTTTACATCACTCTCTACTATGCACTCTTAGAGGTAGAGAGAATGAGGTGGAGCTAAAACTATGGCGGTGTTGATGATAGAGAGTTGAACAGCAATGCATCAATGTGGAGGTTCAACATCTTTATCAGTGTTATCAAAGTCTGCAATGCTTCTCCTCTAGCTTAATATGAAAGTCAAAAATATGTTCATTTTTAATGTGTTCTTAGAAGAAGACGGTCTCGGCATGGAGGGCAACCCCGCCGAAGAATGTATGTTGGATATGCCAAAAGAAAACGAGGATGTCATAAGGAGTAATACGGGTATTTACGTTGTAAGTATAATGCCAGACTGCAAACTGTCATCAATAGTTTGTATCTAGGTCCTAGAAAGGCTTGGAAAGGGCACATTTGGTGCAGTATTTCGCGTTCGCCGTGCACAAGACAATAGCGAATTAGCGATGAAGTGTGAATCATGCAAATCAAGAAAGCAGGTATGATCGAGCTACCCAATCCATACAACTACTCTCATTTAGATAATCAAACATGAAGCCAAGGTTTTCGAAAGTCTGAAGCAGGTGAACTCACCCCACTTTTTGCATCTATTGGATCGTGGAAAAGTAGCAGGACGCTTTAATTTCATTGTTATGAAATTGGTGAGGTTTCTTCTTATTTGCGAAGACATTAGTTACATATAGAGTTCTCAAAATTTCAAAAAAAAGTTGATGCAGATTGTGTGAAAACTTAGTAAAGTGCGAATACCCTTTTCACAAAACGCGCCATCTTTTAATTGAAGAGACAGCCTATTGAAGTGATACCACTTATACTCTGGAACAAAAAAATCAAGGATTTGGCTCTGCAATACCCTCCGTAGGCACGCACCGAATGCATACTACTTCAAGTCGAAGAGACGGTTGTATGCGTGCGAGCCTATAACAGTGATTTACGGGAGCAGTCGTCTACCAAGTCAGTGCTTTTATTTCCCAGATTAATCTGATATCAATTTACCAGCAGCGAGGGTAGAGGGACCAGGGGCGGTGATCGAACCTGTGTCCGATCAGATGGGCCTCATACCAGCAACCACTCGTCCTCCATTTTAGACACTATCTAAATGAATTGTTATCAATATGAAGAAACTCGAAAACTTGTTTGGAAATATTGACAGGCTAGCTATCGCTGCCAAAAAATTGGGTTTTGTAACATTTTGTTAACTCTATCTAACTGTTACCGGAAGTTTTTAGAAATTCAAAACAAAAATTTTTGAAAATAGCAAGATCTAAGGTAGGAAAAACCACAGACTGAAGATTCTGACGATTTTTCAAGCGCACATCAAAGGTATCCAAACAAAGGCATTACTGCTGGAAAGAGTAAAAAATTCGGCAGAACACTTCTTGAAGTGTCTGTTTATTTTTATTCTGAATTAGCTGGCTTTCCCGGTCCAGTCCGGGTCAATGTTTTTCACTGGAGAGAGGTAGACGCTGTTTTGGTCCCAGTAAATGAAGCGTCACCCTCTCCCTCTCTCGTATGGATGACTTACCTCAGACAATTTTCTGGGACTCCTACAGGACGTTTTCGG